CCCCCCCCCACCCCCGCATCAGAGCGGAGAGTGCAGGGCCGCCTCTGTGTTCCAGGACCTGTGCTCTTCTGGATGGTCATGATCCTGGTGGTGGTCTTGGTCTCCATCTCCTTCCTCCTGTGCCACTGGAGGGCCTGCAGGAAGTGGATTCAGCAGAGTGAGTAGATGTGTCCTGGGGGCCTTGGAAAGGGCCAGGCGCCCTGCACTAGTCTGGCTGGGGCCCTGCCCTGCCCCCTGAGGCTCCCTGAGGCTGGCACCTCCAGCCAACTCTGCTGTCCTTTCAGAGCTCCACCTGTGCTACCCTGCCCAGACCTTCCGGCCCACGCTGGAGCCTGTGGGTAAGCGTCCACGTGTCCAGAGGGGCTGCTCGGGCCACACGGACACAGCAGCTCTGGGCCCTGGGTTTGGGGCTCCCTCTGTCCGCAGCCTCATCTGTAACAGGAATGTGATGCGGGTGGGAACTGCACGGCCTGTGCCTCACAGTCCTCCCAGAGGGCTGGCAGGAAGGTTGAAGATCCACCTCGTCTTTCGTTCTTTCCTCCATGGTGCCTCCCGGAGAGGCATTCCTGAACGCCTTCCACTCCTTCCGAGCCTCCCTACGCCTTCCTTTCTCCCCTCTCCTGCTGGCAGCGAGGGGCATAGTGGTCTGTAGGGCAGGCTGATAGGGCTGGGATCCTGGGTCTACCACTTACCAGCTACATGGCCTCGGGTGAGTTTCTTAATTCCTGTGTCTCCGTTTCCTCACCTGTAAAAGGAACAGTGGGACTTCGGAGGGCGGGCGTGTGGATCCGTGGAGGTGGGCCTGTTGGTGCTGTGCGGAGTGCGTGGTGGGTGGGGCCGTGCAGCGGGGGGACTGCTGACTGACAGACCGGCCAGTGTTGGGGGCCTTTTTCCTCACCAGGAATCTCAGGGCTTTCTGAATTCTAGATTGTTCTGAAGCCCTCCCTGGCCCTTACTCTCTGATCCCTGCCCGGCTTCCGGGTCAACTTTTGCAGGCCGCCTTTTGGAACCCCTGACCTATTTCCAGCTCTCACCTGGTGTGTGTGTTGTGGGGGAGGGGTCCCAGCCATCTGTGCCCCAAGTGCCTTTTCTCCCCTGTGCAGCCCTTTCCAGGCAGGACAAGGTCTTCATCAGCACTCCATAAACACTGATTGAGCACCTACTGTGTGCTGGGCCCTGACCATCGGGGAAGGAGTGAATGGGAATTGTCTGAGCTTCCCTTTCTGCTTTCGAGGCAGGCTCCCATAGAGGGTCTCACTGACCCAGAAACCCCAAGGGAGGTGGGTGATGATCGCCATTCCACAAGGAGGCAGCCAGGCTCAGAAAAGGTGGATAAGTGCCTGGGGCCACACAACCTTCAAGGCTCAGGCGTGGTCCTTGAGATTGTGGACTTTGTCTGTGGAGTACAGACCTGTCACCTCCACCTTCCTCCCCCCAAGCTGTGTCCACCCCCAGGGTCCACTCATGAGCCCAGTGGTCAGCCTCAGGCCAGGTCACAGCTCCTTTGTCCCCCGGGCCCCCATCTCCCCAGGGCCCTTGGAGACCCTCACTGTGGCCCGCCTTTTGACTTGAGCACAAAACCTGTCCACTGAAGCCTGTTTTGAATTTGATGAGTTTCACAGCAGGTGCATGTGCTCCCTTAGCAAGGGGGGTTTTCGTGTTTTGATAGTTTCAAGCCTTTTTCCATGAGCTGTCAGCCCTAATGTCTCATTGAAACCTGTGTTTGCTTTCTTGACATTTTTCTAGTATTAAAATTTCCATTGCCGTCAGTTTATTTTTTTCTTCAAACCTTCTTGATGGCAGTTTTGCCACAGAGAGAGAGAGAGAAAGAAAAAAATCACCTCTTAAGAAGCCAGACCTACAAGGAACCAAGCTCTGAGACTCAGTGGTGGCCATCCTGTTTGGGGCTGTTTTCGGCCCTCTGGCTTCCGGTGGGTCCCTGGGCAGGGGGCGGGGGGGGGGGGGGGGGGCTGGGTTCCCAGGCCTGAGATGGAAGGAAGGCGAGGCCAAGATAAGCACCCATGGCCCAGGATGAGAACGGACTAGCGGGGTGGATGCCCCATTCCCTCCCGAGCAATGGGTGCTAACGGGGGGAAGCGGCTTTCATTCCTGTGCTTGCTCATTCGTGTATTTAGATCGTCCTCCAAGTGGCTCTGTGCTGGATACCGAAACGGTGGTAGCTCTCCCAAGCCTTCAGACCAGTGTCAGTTCTTTCAGGGGACGGAAGGCTAGCAGGATGGGAATGCGTGACCCAGCCCTCCCTATCCTGGAGCCCCAGCGCTTTACCAGCCTTCACTTGAATTGATGTGACTTTATGGCACATGTCCTTGGTGACAGGCATTTGCAAAACACATACGTGTACAGGGGGTCTGTGAGGCATCTGCTATTTTTATTCCCATTTCACAGACCAGGAATCAGAGGCACAGAAAGGTGGAGGAACCTGTTTAAGGCCACTTGGTTAATAGGCAGTATGACCAGGATATTGTTGTTGCTGTTGGTGGTGAGATTTTTGTACAAAGGGCCTCTCACTGTTGACGTGTGGGGCCAGGTCGTCCTTTGCTGTAGGGGCTGTCCTGTGTGTTGTAGAAGGTTCTGCAGTTTCCTCGGTCTGTAGACCCACCAGATACCAGTAGCGCCTCCCAGCTGTGACAGTCAGGCACATCTTCAGGTAGCTCACTGTCCCCTGGGGGTGGGAATCACGCCTGGTTGAGAAACACTGACTAAAATTCTTTTAATCCTTCCTTTTAATGACACTGAAGTCATTATCTGCTACTTCAGGCAGGTCGAAGTTGAAAAACATTTTGTGTTGTTTTGAAACAATTACACACTTACAGAAAAGTCACAAATGCAGTACAAAGAACTTAATTTTTTCTGAACCTTTTTAGATAAGTTGCCCACTTAATGCCTTATCATCTCCAAATACTTTAGCGTGTGCTCATACAAACATGGGCGGATTTTTAGACAACGTAGCGAAACCATCAAAATCAGAGAATTCACACCGATGCATTTACCACCAACTAATTCTCAGACCCCTTTCAACTTTCTTCATTTATCCCAACAACATCCTTTATAGCAGAAGAATCCAGAATTTCGTGTTGCATCTGGTTGTCATGTCTCTTGAGTTTCCTTCAGTCTGGGTGCATTGCTGCCTTTTCCTCCATGTTCACGACTTTGCCACTTTTGGGGATCCCGGCCCTGGGTTTGTGGATGTCCCTCACCTTGGGTTTGCCTGATGCGTCCTCACTACTGGAGATTGGAGTCCGGTCATGCGTCTCTGGTGATGGGAAGATCTTAGGAGTGACACCCAGTTCCCCTGGTGGCATCCGTCCTGCCAGGCTGCAGCACCAAGTTGCTCTTTTCTCCTTGGCAAGTGCTAAGCACTTTCGGGGGGGGGGGTACTTTGAGGCCCCGGGAATAACCGCTTCCTCAACAAACTGTCTTCTTTTTCCTTTGTGTTTATAGCTGCCTGGACTCTTGGATTGCTGTTTTATTCTGTTGCCATCGTTATTTAATTTGATGTTCAAGTTGCCTCAGATTAGGCCAGTGGGGGCCCTTGAAGCTGGCTCCTGTGTCCTTTTGTCCCATCCTTTCCTGTTTTGAGCACTTCTTTAAGATGATCCCAATGTGCCTGGTACTTTCCTGCCCTCGCCCTGGAATGGGGTATGTCTCCAAGGAGCTGGGTCTTAATCTTGGGGTGCCCATTGCCAAAGCCAGGCTGAACCTCTGTGCCAGACTCCTTCCCTGGGTCCGGTCTGCTGCCTGCAGCAGCCAGGACCCCAGGCCACATTGGGGCTGGGACTGAAAGGGGAGAGTGACCAAGATGGAAGGGACCGATAGTGTGCGCATCAGAACCCCTGTGCTCGGCTACGGTGGCCCTCAGAGTGGCCCCGGGGATACCATGCACTTGTCCCAGGGGTGGCCCCGATGCTTAGTGTGTCCCTGGACTCAGGTCCTAGGGTGCCAGATGCGTTTATAAGAAGATCACAGTTATTCCCCAAAGCAGGAAAACAAATCAATGAAGACAGTGGACTGAAGCAACGTTTTTAGGGGAAACACACTTATGAAATCTGACCTCTGTACTTGGCATGACTGGTTCTGGGTCTTTAATCAAAGCACACACGTGGGTTGTAACGAAGCTGTAGGCAGACATTAGTACCTCTGGATTCTGCCTTTTCACCTTTGTGTTATTTTATGCTTGTTTCCAAGAGTCAGTATCAAATGCTGATTTTCTCTTTGGTGGGATGGAGTGCCGAGCCTCATTAATATCCCGGGACCCACTATATGCCAGGCAGCATCCTGGGCACAGTCCCTTTTTCACGTTTAAATTTTAAAAAATTTTAAACACACTTCATTTTTTAGAGCATAGGATATTTGAAAAGATAGTACAGAGAGTTCCCTTATCACACCCAGTTTCCTCCATTATTAATGTCTTACGTGAACATGGCGTATTTGTCACAATAAATGAATCAATATTGATACATTACTATTGACTTTATAAAGTCCGTACTCTATTTAGGTTTACTTAGTTTTGCCCAACCTTTTTTTTTTTTTTTTACTGTTCCAGGCTCCCACCCAGGAAACCATGTTACAAATAGTTGTTGTCTCTGCTTGGGCTCCTCTGGGCTGGGACAGTTTCTGACTTTCCTGTTTTTGATGACTTTGGCAGTTTTGTCTTGTTTTTTTAATTTTAGAGAGAGAGTAAGAGCATGAGCAGGGTAGAGGGGGCAGCAGGAGAGAGAATCTTCAGCAGGCTCCATGCTCGTCACAGAGCCCAACACAGGGCTTGATCCCATGACCCTGGAATCATGACCTGAGCTGAAATCAAGAGTCGGATGCTTAACCTACTGAGCCACTCAGGCGCCCGTCCACCCCCATGACCTTGCCAGTTTTGAGGAGTACTGGCCAGTTATGTTGCAGGATGCCCCTCTGTTGGAATTTGTCTGACATTTTCCTCCTTATTAGATTGGACTTAAGGGGTTAGGGGAGGAAGACCACGTGAGTACAGGGTCATTCTCATCATATCACATCAAGGTTCATGCTCTCCGGGTGATTAATCATTGGGCACCTTCACGTTTGAGATCTCATTTATCGTCACAAAAACCCTCCAGAGTTGGCATGATGTGTCCCATTTTCCAGACATGAGTACTGAGCCTGGGAAGGTGAAGTAATGTTGTGTTGGCCTTCCTGCCAGGAAGGCCTCTGCTTCAAGACTGCTAAGCAGCCTCATTGTTTGGCATCTGGCTCGTTCTCAGTTTTTTGTTTATTATAAATACCACCTCTGTGCACAACCCTGTTGTGTTCTCTTGGGTTATTTCCTGAGGGTGTGTACCCATAGAGGGATTACTGGGTCAAAGGGTGTGAGGTTTTCCTTGCCAGTTGGCTCTTTAGAAACATGGAACCGGTTCACAGGGCATGAGAAGCTGTGTTCCTTTTTACCCACATCCTCTCCAAGACTGAATTTTATCACTTTTATTTATTTTATTTTATCTTGTTACTTTGTTGTACTTTCTCCCTGTGGCCACCCAAATCAAAGTTGGCTGTTTGCAAAACTCAAACTCACTCTTAAAGGACAAAGATGAGGCCTCACTGACATCATTTAAAGGAAGCTGCCTCGGGCCAGAGAGCATTTGGTGGCTTGGACTATGGACAGTGGCTACCTAGTGGGAATGAGCCACGGCCTCCCAAGGTGACCACTGTGCTGGGAACACCAGTTACCAGAGGAAGGAAACTCGGTGCATTTGTTAAGTCAAGAATCCAGAATTGTGTCATTTTATACACGTTCTCCTTTTGACCATCATTCTGGTTCCTTTCCTCTTTAGACACTTTTTAGTGTCCGGTTCCTTTCCTCTTTAGACACTTTGCTGATGGTCGCTTAAAAGGTACATGTAAGAGTGTTCCCCAAACTGACCTAACGTCTACACAGCATGTTCACACCACCTGTCTTGTTTGTATTATCACAGCTGGTGGGCCTCCAGTGAAGTGTTTCAGCTAGGATTCAGGGCTCATGGTTCCCAGAGCTGCTGAAATCAGAGAGTGTTCCGGAGGTGACTTAGCTCATTGGCATTTTCAGAGCAGATCTCTCTGGTCAGGTGTGCACACCCACAGCAGTCTATTCCAAGTCTCCGAGAGGGCCTCCTCAGGAGTCCTAAAGGGCTGTGTGTCCCTAGAGGACGGTCTATGCTGGGAGTTGATTTGCCCTCGGGTAGACCAGATGCCTGGGCACCATCTCCAGCTGTCTCAAATGGCCAGTGGGCCGTGGCTAAATACCAACATGTGCTTGGCCGTGTATTTGATAGGAGAGAAAACCTGGGGGTGGGGGTTTGGGATAAGAAGTAGTTGTGCCCTGAGAATCCCTGAGTCTGTGCCTCCTGAGCCCACCAGAGGGGGATGGTAGGTGGCAGGCTGACGATGAGCAGCTGTCTTCCTTGAAGGTGGTCATATGGGCTCTTCCAGGCACGAGTCGTAGAAACCGAGCTCCCACAGAAGGCCTCCAGGGTCGCCTGGCTTCGGTATGCCCGGAGCAGGTTCAGCAGAGGTCCTCAGGATCGGTTATCTGCTCTGTGTTACCAGCCCTGAGGTCTTCCGTGAGACCTTTGCACGGGGCTCTGAGGAGTTCTGGGCTCTCTAGACCCTGGGGGCTACAAGATAGTGTCCGCAGCCACAAACCAACTTCTGAGCCCATGGGCTGGGGGAGGGCGTCAGTACTGTGATTGGCTTAGTGGCTGGGGGAGAGGTGGTTCCCAGTTCTCCCATTGCCGCTACAGAAGTGAGCGCTGGGAAATGAGTTTCTGTGCCCAGGGTTCGGCGTGGACTCTGAAGCCATCCACTGCTCTCCAGCCCGAGGGCCTAATAAGTGTCAGCCGCCATCCATGCGTGGGCTGGGACGGGACCAGGTAGCTCCCAGACCCTCCTTGGTGAAGTCCCTGCTCTGCTTCTTTTTGCAGATTCCAGGCCCAGGAGGAACCTGACCGTAAGTAGCCCTTCTTTGCCCCGCCTCCCTGGCTTTGTGCCCCTAACTCTGACTCCTTCGCTAGCAGATCTGCCAGTTCTGAGAGCTGTGGGTCATTCCCCAACCACAGTGATGGGGTGCGCCCCCCGCCCCCGCAGGTTCAGGCTGGGTCTGCCCCCCGTGGGATGCTCTGAGCACAGCGGGGCGAAGCCAGGCTCTGGCAGTGGATGGGGAGCCCCACCCGCTCAGCTGCCTCTGGCTCCCGGCTCACCCTGCTGGGGACTCTTCCAGAAGGGCCGTGGATTTGGTTTGGGCCGATTTGGGTGCCAGGTGTGGTCAGAGGAAGGCCATGCTGACCTCCCCTTTTCTCCTTCACTCCTCTGTGGCTCTCATCCTCACAGCTGGGATGGCAAATCCAGAGCATGACTCTGAAAATGTAGCCATCACACATGGGCACTTCCCAGGAGCCAGGCACCTCGCTTGTGACTCTTAAAGTTACCTTGGGTAGGCCGTACAACACTCAGAGGTTGGTGCTGTGGTCCATTTTACAAAAGAGGAAACAGAGGCACGGATGGGAAAGGATACTCCACAGCTGGAAAATAGATCAGCGAACCCTGGTTTGATTTGAACCCTGGTTTGTATGGCTCCAAAGCTGGTACCCTGGGCTCTAAGGACCTCTTCACCTGCCTTTTACAAGCAACTTGCTGTGGGCAGGCGCTAGGCCAGGCTTTGCAAACTTTACCGTTGATCCTATGATTACCCCAGATGGGGCTTCGACACCTGGTCCTCACTGGGCTTGGCCTGGTGCCCTGCTATGCACCCAGCCTCCAGGAGCAACCTTTGGGGGGAAGAGCCATCCCATGGGTGTTGCCATCGGGAGCTGAGGGACAGGGCAGGACATATGGATGAGTCTCATGTGTGTATGGTTCACCTATTTTTGTTTTCTTTGATCAAATCTTCCATACCCTTTTTTAAAAAAATTTATTTTGAGAGAGTGTGCATGCATGCAGGTGGGGGAGGGCAGAGAGAGAGGGATGGAGAGAATCTCAAGCAGGCTCCCCACTGTCATCACAGAGCCCACGTGGGGCTCAAACTTGTGAAACTGTGAGATCATAACCTGAGCCAAAATCAAGAGTCGGATGCTTAACCAACTGAGCCACTCAGGCGTCCCCCCTCACCCACCCATGACTTTCTTTTGACTCAGACTTTCACCCTTGGAGAAGGGTTTCCATCCTTTAGTCTTTAAATATAATAGAACCACAATGTGAGTTCAGTTTCAAATTATGGGAGGTCACATTCAAATATGCTTGGGTCAGATAAGTGGCTATTACAATACCAGGAAATTTCATGAACAAGGCATTTAATGATTTCTAAGATAACCAAACATCTTTTGGCCACGGGAGTCAGTGCTTTTATAGTAACTTGTTTAAAATGCCATCTTTTGGACTTCAAATTAATATAAAAGAATATTTGGGGTTATGTAGATATACTTTGTGAATTACTCAGACTCATTCCCTAACTAGTATGTGTTAGAAGATTTCATGAGGGGCGCCTGGTTGGCTCAGTGGTTAAGCATCTGACTCCTGGTTTTGGCTCAGGTCATGATCACACGTTTCATGAGATCGAGCCCCAAGTCAGGCTATGAGCACAGAGCCTGTGCTATGAGCACAGAGCCTGCTTGGGATTCTCTCTCTCCCTCTCTCTCTGTTCCTCCCCCATGTGCTCATGTGCTGTCTCTTTCTCTCTCTCTCTCTCTGTCTCCCTCCCTCTCAAAAATAAACTGAAAAAACCCAGAACATTTCATGAGACCACTTCTCCTTTATGCTTACTTATAAAAGTAAAAAACTAAACCATTTTCCTGAAAATGTACAGAACGCATTGATGTAATCATGAACGACCGCTGTCTCAGGAGGTCAGGGCTGGGGAGTTGGGGTGGGTCTGGAGCGCACACTTACCAACAGGTGCTTTATGAGCATGGATTCCGGAGCGAGGCACCAGGGTTCAAGTACTGGCCCAAACACTTACTAACTAACCTGAGCAAGTTCCCTGACTCCTCTGCGTCTCTGTTTCCTGACCTGTAAAATGGGGAGGGGGCTATTCTCAGTGCGTCGCACTGAGTGATGCATTGATGAGTGCAGTGTGGGATGCTGGCTACTGTCATTTAGTACAAGTTAAAAGCAACACGACTTCTAAAATTCTCCACAGGGACATCAGGCTCTCAAACCTGAGAAGCCTTGGGGCACCTGGGTGGCTCAGTCGGTTGGGCGTCTGACTTCAGCTCAGGTCATGATCTCACGGTTCATGAGTTCGAGCCCCACGTCGGGCTCTGTGCTGACAGCTCGGAGCCTGGAGCCTGCTTCTGTGTCTCCATCTCTCTCTGCCCCTCCCCCGCTCATGGTCTGTCTCTCTCTCTGTCAAAAAAAAATAAACATTAAACAAAAAAAACAGCTGAGAAGCCTTGGGTGGCAGCTTTAAGGCAGAGAGGGAGACCCACTGGGGTCTACAGACATGAAGAAACAGGGGCTTCCCAGCTCAGAGCCCGAGGGGAGGTTGGGGCACCCCGCATCAACTCCGCATCTTCTGTGTCCACAGCAGTTGAGGAGTTGCATATCGGTGGCCAAGCCGGGCACAGAGGAGCTGGGATTAATGGGCCCCCCGGCCGTGGAGACCTGCCCCAACGGGGAAGCCTGCCTGCAGAGCATGCGGCTGCTGGATGCCAGCCCGGCCGGGAGCCCCCCGTCCCCCAGGGACCTTCCCGAGCCCCGGGTGACCTCAGAGCATACCAACAACAGGATCGGTGAGTCTGCCGATTTGGGGTGTGGTCAGGGCCGAGGGGGCAGCAGGGAGATGGGCACTGGCTCAGGGTCCAGTGCCCCCGACCGGAACCAGAGACCCTAGGGTGCGAAGGCCCAGCGAGGAAGAGGCCCTTGGAAGCAGGAGATGCTTGTTGTGAGAGAGTTAAAGCATGCTTAGGTATATTACGAAGGCTGTTCCCCCTCGTTACCCCAATTCAAATTTCTGTAAAACAGGAATAGTGCTAATTCTGCCTCAAAGGGCCATTGCGAGACGTGGAATCATGCGTGGGAGGTTGTCCTGGTGGGTGGGGGTGAAGGTGGGGGAAGGGGCTCCCCTGCCTGGTGCCTGTTGTTGAGGTGAGATGTGGACGCCGCCCCATCCCCCAGCAAAGAGCCCCGTGAAGGGAAAGGAGGACACCTTGAAAGGTGCCGGTGACAATAAGACCTGCCACTTGTCTAGGTGAAAGTCATCTCTCGTTGTCCCATGGCCTCTGAGGACAGTGTCTTCCTCCTCTTTTTATAACTGGGGACACTGCAGCTGGTGGGGGGGGGGTGCGTGAAGAGATCTTCCCTGTCACACAGCCACTGAGTGGCCCAGCTGGGACACGGCCCCCCACCTGCGGGGCTCCGAAGCCTTTGGCTTGCCCACGGCGGCCTCGAGGTCAGCACTTCCCGAACTGCAGCCGCCCTCCCACTCAGGCAGACCTTCTGCTTTGGCTTCCCAAAGCCTCCTCTCCTTCTGCTCTCCACCCTGCTACACCCAGAGTGTTTGTGCCAAAATATATGCCCCTCCGTTGTGCACCCCTGCTTAAACCCCTGGGGCTGGGGCAGGGGTCCCTGTTGCTCTCAGGATGGATTCCAGGACTCTTATTCCGGCCTTCAGACTGGTCACCAACTGCCTCCTCCCCACCAGACTCACCTGCCTCCTGACCCCACAGGCCTGCTTCTCCTACCCACTGGCAGTTTCCCGAGTTCACAGAGCCCTCCCTCCCTCCTGAGCTTCTCTGTGGAAGCTGCTTCCTCACCCTGGATGGGCAGCTCCCTCTTTAAATCTGGTCAATTCCTGAGCTCCTGAGGCCCCTGCCCTTTTGCTTCCTCCTCCAGGAAGTCTTCCTGGCCCTCTGCACTCTCCTGTCTAGACCAGATGCCCCTCTGCTGTGCTCCCCCAGACCCCAGGCCTCCTGACCTAGTATCCTCAGCACCCAGCAGTGTGACTATTTGTAGCCTCCCTTCCCCCCTCCCCTCACCCCTCCACCTGGCTGTGAGCTCCATCTCTGTCCTCTGGAGGGTTAACCGTTGCTGGGTAATACCAAAGAGGCTTTGTTCTCCACATTTCTGTCGCAGTTGCTGGTGGATTGAACTCTTTGGGGCTGAGTCTTTCATATGAAAACAAAACTTTTGGAATTGTAGCTTTCAGCAAGGTTTTTTGTTTTTTCCCCATTTTTAAAAAGAGGGTTATTTGGGGAAATACCACCAAAGACATCTCCTTTAAATTTCCTAAGAAGTCCTAATGTGAACGTTTGAGTCCCTGCCGAGGGCAGTGCCCGGAGGGAGCTGCGGGGGCAGGTGGAGGGAGGTGCCGAGCTCCCGGGATGGGAGTGGGCCGTCTGCTCCAGCTGGCCTGTTAGCCTTGCTGGCAAGCGTGGTGGTTGGGAGCGAAGGCCTTGGAGGTCCTCTCAGGAGCCTTTTGTCCTTCTCATACCATCCCAGAGGGGCCCCTGCTGCCCTGTCCAGCACCCCCGGGGGACCAAACTGCAGCTTGAGCTTTATCCCTCGCCCCCAGGGCACCAGGCAGGGAGAGCCCCTTCACTTCCCACCAAGATAACTTGCCTGGATTCTAGAGCCCTGAGTGGGCTGCTCCATCCCAGTGTCCTGCTCCACCCCAGCTTTCAAGTTCCTTCTTGAGCTTCCTCATTCAGACTCCAGAGATAGTCACGGGGCCGGGCTGCTGGGAGGCCCTGAGTGCAAGGCCATGTAGCTGGGCCGGGTAAAGGCTCCTCGCTTCTCGGCTTACTTAGCTCCCCTGAGCCTCCAAAGCCCCAGCCATAGATGGTGGTACGACCCTTAGAGGATCATGCCTCTGATGGGGTATGCTGCTGATTCATCCAAGCAACATACACCAGCAGCCCTACTACGTGCTACTCAGGCACAGCTGTGAAGGCCTCGGGTGGGCGATGGGAAACACGTAGCGAACACCTGAAGACCCGAGGTACGGCCCCGAGAAAGACTCCCAGGCTGCGGCTAATTATCAACAGGGCTGAGGTTTCTTTTTTTTTCATTTTGTTTTTAAGGTTTTTCATCTTTCAGAGACAGAGAGACAGAGCGTGAACGGGCTCTGAGCTGTCAGCACAGAGCCCGACGGGGGGCCCGAACTCACGGACAGCGAGATCATGACCTGAGCTGAAGTCGGACGCCCAACCGACTGAGCCACCCAGGCGCCCCAGGGCTGCCTGGGTTTACCTGGACCTTAAGAGGTTCATGGGGCTCGGGACTGTCACGGCCATGTCCCAGGAGTGCCCCCAGGCAAACCGGGACAAGTCCGTCACCCCTGGTTTCTGATTTAGGCACGTGGATAGGAGCGGAAAGGGTGGCCAGTCAGGTGGGGGTTTCTTCTGAGACTTCTAACTACCTGGTGACTTTGGGCAGGTCTTTTAACCTTTCGGGGCTTTAGGTTTTTTATCTGTCCACGGGGACAATCCTAGACTCTCCCCCTGGCAGCCGGGATGTGAGGATTCGGGAGTAACGCGTGGAGGGTGTCTGGACAGTGTCTGCCACCGGCTAACCTCCTCTGGAGCTTCCCGGGGCTGCCACTTACCAGCTTCTCTCCCCAGGGCTCGCTTTCTCTCCCGGCTTTACTCTCTCCTTCCCTACCAGATCCTCACTGAAACTGGAGGAGACCGTGAGCCTCTCCCACAAGGAGCAGGCGGGCCGGGCCAGTGCTTAACTTCTCAGTGCATGGTTTCTAGCTGTTTTATTTCCTTTGAGCCTCAGGACACCTGTGAGGTTGGTGGGGCTTACCGTGGATCGGAGAGATTGTGTCATCTGCCTGAGGCCACACAGTAGGAGTGACGAGGCTGGGGCTTGCACCCACCTCTGCCTCCTCACTCCGTCCAGCCAGGGCTCCTGTTCCCTCACTTCAACCCATCCTTTTGCTTACAGAGAAAATCTACATCATGAAGGCTGACACAGTGATTGTGGGGACCGTGAGGACCGAGGTGCCTGAGGGCCGGGGCCTGGCGGGGCCGACGGGGCCTGAATTGGAGGAGGATCTGGAAGGGGACCACGCATACCCCCACTTCCCGGAGCAGGAGACAGAGCCGCCTCTGGGCAGCTGCGGGGACGTCATGTTCTCAGTAGAAGAGGAAGGAAAGGAGGCCCCCTTGCCCATGACTGTCTCTGAGAAATGAGGCCTGGTCTGGGTTGGGGCTGAGAGGGCAGCTGGGTGGCCCCGGAGAGGCCAGGGTGGCACTAGTGGCACCAGGCTGGCAGCAGAGGCCTGTGTGGCCCGAACTGAGGTTCCGGCATCCGGTGGAAGACCAGCCTGGGCAGGGGGCTTCTGGTGGTTTCCAGTTGCGCCCCGCCCAGCTTCTCCCCCAGCCCAGACCCCGGGGGAGCCCGGCTCGTGCCGTGGAGACAACCCAGGGGCTGGATCCGCACGGCAGTGTTGGAGCAGCAGGCAGACGGCAGGGACTGGGCGCCCCGTCTCCCACCACTGCCAGGAAGACGCCCTCGGAGCCCGGAGCATCAGACGCACGCCGCCAGGGCCGGAGCTCACTGGCGGCAGAGATTGTGAGGCACAGACCCCTCGGCCTGCTTCTCTCGCCCGGGGCCTCGGGAGCAGTGCCCCCCTGACCTTGCTGCCATGCCGGCAGCCCCCAGTTACTGTGGTGTGGCCCCCATGGGCACCGAGCCAGCGCCTGTGGTGGTTTCTCCTGAGTCAGTGGGGAAGCCAAGGGACGAGGCATCATCCCCCATCTTGGCAACAGCTGCCACGCTGTGCTCTGTGCCCAGCCTGGCCTCCTGCCCTGCTAGGGCTGAGCGAGACCCTCCTGGTGCCTCCAGCCCCTCCCTATGCTGCAGCCCCCACGGTGGGCTGAGGGCCTGGGGTCAACTGTCTCAAAATGTCCCCACCAGTTCTCCCAGTGGGAAGCATCTTGGGACCCAGATGTCTGTAGATGCTCCAGTTGCGGGGTCCTGCTCCAGCCGGAGACCCCGCCCACCCGGCTGCCCTCCTGGAGAATGGCCTGCTGAAGGGGAGCCGTGGGCCCTTCCTGGATCCTTGCTGCTGTGTCCTGGGAAATGAAGATGCACCTTCCCCAGCTCTGCCATGCTTATAGATCCCGGCGGCCCCCCGCCCTGCCCTCAGGCTCCCCTGCTCAGCACCCACGGTGGGGATATGGATGTCAAAAAGTAACGCGGTTTCGCCCAGGCATTCAAATGCCTTCTTCTGGATTCTTGGAAAAGCAAGTAGTTCAGTCCAGATTTCAGGATCTTTGCAATTCACGAGAAGGAGAAGCTGCCCTAACTTGGGTCCGCTGGCCTGCTCTCCCCGGGGCTTTCAGACTCCTATAAACACACGAGGGGCCTTGGAGAGGGGCCTGTGGGCAGAGGACAGGTCGGCCGCAGCCCAGGGCATGGAGTCTCAGCCACCTAGAGGCTCCTGGAATTACCCGCTGCAGGAGGCCAGGCCCGGGAATCTGCTGTTTACCCACCAGCCTGCTCACTGTCAGGAGGAAGTCGAGGCTGGGTCAGGAATCACAAGGGTAGTTTCTGAAACTGCTCAGATGTTTTTGGGAAAGTTGGAGAGGCTAGGACGCTGACACACATACCAGAAGCTGGAGAAGTTTACATGAAATTTTAGAGACAGCACCGTCACTGTGCCCTGAGCTTTGGCTCTGAGGGGCCCCGAGGACGCCCCACCCCGCCCAGCAGGCCACCCAGCAGGGTTCTGGCAGTCTTGACTTGAAGATAATTACGCACGTCTAATGAAACGGAGCATTCCCTTGCCCAAAGGCCCCTCACAAAACTTTCGATCCTCCAAAACTTTTGATCCTCAGAAAATTAGTAAGGTCCCTTAAAAAAACTAATCGTAAGGCTCAGGAAACTATCTTTGGATTAAGAGTATTTGAGAACCTCTGAGCAGGAAGGGTCTGGGCAGTCTCTCTCCCCACAGGACAGGGAGGTCCCTCTTCACCCATCCGCCTGGCAACCAGCCTCTGGTGACAGGGAGCCCACTATCTGCTGAGGCAGCCCTTCCTCTGCGTACCGCCTGCTCCCTGGTCCCAGACCTGTCCTCCGAGGATATGCAGAATAAAGCCTCTCTTGTCATAAGGCTCTCTTTGGGTATTTGCAGAAAGAGATCCCTGGCCTCCCCATGACCTTCTTCCCTCTGGGCTGGGCTGAGCAGCCTCCCAGCTTGGGAAAAGGGGAGTCACAAAGTAGTAGCATAAACACGTAGTCTCCGGAGGCAGGGGATGGAGGGGGCGGGCAAGGGGAAGACGAAGGGATAAATGTGAGACTTGGACTTTGGGCCTGAGCCGGGAGGGAACTGCCCCCACAACAGGCAGCCAGCCTGGAGCCCCCCTCTGACTGTGGTTCCCCTGTGGGGTGGAGGAAAGAGACAGAGGGCTGTGGTCAGACCTCACCCACCCCATCCCCAGGACTCCAGCTCATGTCCAGACCTGCAAATCAACCCAGCCCTTTAACCAGCGTCTGCCTGCCATGTGGCTGGTCTGAGAGCCACGGTGAATTTCCCTGTCTTGACCCGTGATCAGGGGCTACTTCTGAACCTCTGTCTGTTCTGATGTCCAGGTGGGCAGACGGGCAAGGCCCCTCCTACTCAGGCTAGCACTTCGTAGGCTGTAAGGATCCCTCCCGTGCACACGTACATCCCTCTTCCTGAAGAGTTTGTATTCGGGCAGTGACGGTAAGTGATGTGTCCTACGGAAGCTATTGCACTCAAAGGAAATTTATCATTTCCCAAGCTGTCTGGTAGGTTGTAAGCTGTTCTAGGTTCTGAGAATCTGTAAGTAAGGCCAGGGCCGGTCCCCGAGATGGAACAAGAGGCTTCTGTCTCATCTCACCCCTCCCTGGGTGGGGGGAGATCCTGAAGACCGGTCACCGGGAACTGGCCTGTTGGGCTAAACAGAAATGAAAATCGGTGCTGACAGTGCAGGAAGTGGAGGGCGGGGTGGGTGGGGACTGAGACAAAGTGCAAGTGGGGGAATAAGGCTTGATTGGAGGCCAAAGTGAGGATATTAAAAGTTTCGAGGTCCACTCCGTGACCCTCCCCCAGGCCCCTCGCCCTGGGCCAACACCCCATGCTGGGTGCACATCCTGGGGCCGTGCCCAGGGGCCAGAGGAGCACAGGTCACCAGTGTTTGAGAGCGAGGTGCAGGCAGGGAGGTCTGCCCACCGCTCTCTGGGGCGTGGGCACAGAACAGCAGCAGTGTGCAGGTGGGGATGGGTCCTGGGGTCAGACCTGGGTTCGAGTCCTAGCTCTGCCACTTACCAGATGGGCACTCTTGGTTATGTGCCTCTATCTCCCTAAAGCGATTTCCTGGTCTTCGAGGTGAAGGTATCAGTCTCTGACCGGTAGGGTCATGGGGTTGCATTAGACCCCACCTGATACGTGGATTGTGCTTGCTGCATGGAAGCTTCTGTCCTGGGTGCAGCCTGGCTGCCACTTGCCAAGAGCGAGCCCTTCCTAGGCTAGCAATTCAGCTCCTTCCAGCCTACAAACAGGTCACCCTCAAAAGGGCATTATAAGTGGTGGTTGGTTCCAGCAAGCCTGTGTTTGCTCTGGTAAGGTTAACCGGGGCTTTCAGGCTCTCCTGGGACCTGGCCTCCCTTGGGGCCAAGTTGCAGTGGGAACCCCTCACATCATGGTCATAGGACTGGGCTGTTTATTAGATGTCTGGAACTCTGGGTATTTGCGATGTGCTCTGGGTCCCTCTGCAAGGGATGTCCTGCTCGTGGTTCTAGTGCATTCCAGGCTGCACTGCATTGCTACTCAAGATTTTTTTTTTTTTGAGTGGCCTCCCTCCCTCCTCCTTCCCGCCCTCCCTTCCTTCTGAAAACACCCATGGTGACCAGGCCCACATCTAGCTGCAGAGGGACCTAGGAAGGCCTAGGTCTGTCTGTCTAGCGCTCAGACTTGCTGTCCTGGGTCCTGGGTCCAGTGGATGGAGACTGATGAGTGTGCACAACTGATCAGTGAACAAGGTCATTCCAGGATTAATCCCACTGTGTGCTACAAGAAACCCCAATCTGGAGCCTGTGTCACAGTGTCTGGAAGGGAGGGGCAATTCTGGCCAGGTGGCCGGGGAAGTCTTCTTTAAGGAGGGGTCTTCTGAGCTCAACCTGAGGTGACATGACAAGAGGGAGTCTGGGGACCTGGTGGCAGAACATTCCGGCAAGTCGGGAACAGCAACCACAAAGGCCCTGAGGTGGGAATGGCCAGGAGATTCAGGATGCACCGGACATCTGGGTGGCTCCGTGCGCTGAGTGTCCAACTCTTGATTCGGGTCGGGTCACGATCTCGCGGTTTGTGAGTTTGAGTCCCTCATTGGTCTCCGTGCTGGTGGTGCAGAGCCTGCTTGCATTCTCGCTCTCTCTCTCTCTGCCTCTCTCTCTGTGCCCTGTGCACTCTCTCTCTCTCTCTCAAATAAACTAGAAAAAAAAAAGATTCAGGAAGCACAGCACCCTGGTGGAAACACAGTGAGGAGAACAGAGAGGAGCAGGAGGTGAGTGTGGAAAGCAGCGGGTGGGTCACGGGGGCCTGCCGGGCGGCTGTCAGGCACTTAGACTTCATCATAAAACATCATTATTTCTATTTTTCTCCTATTAGAACAATAAACATCCTGGTATTATCTCAGGAATAGGCGTGAAGGGCCGAAGCAGAGGCAGCAAAGTTTGTTTGAACCTATTTCAGAGGGAAGCCTGGTCCAGGGGCACCGGTGGCCAGGAGCCAGGAAGCAGTGAGACGGGTGGTCTCAGGACACAGAGAGAAGCCTGCATTACTGGTTCATGTGGCCCTGGTTGATGTCACCACAGGAGGCTGGCCGTCAGTCAGTCTAGTTCCCCCTTTCTCCGGGTGCCTTCCAGGAGAGTAAAAACCACACCAAAAATTCCTGGGGGAGGCTGGAGCCTTTGTTTGTTTTCGGGTGTGGGGCGTGGGGTCTCTCCGAACCACGGCCTGCACTTTCTTCCTCGGTCGGCCAGCACGCGCCCCCTTCTGTTTCATCACCGTGGCTTCGCCTGTCGGGGAAGGAATGGCTCAGCTCAGTCAGGATTCACCTCCTGCTCGAGCGACTCCGGCTACGGGGCCTCCAGCAAAGCCCTTAAGCGCCTTTAACTTCGGTTTCCCAATCTGCAAAATGGGCACAACAGCTGCCTTCCGAGGTGG